GACAATTTGAAAAGAATGAGTCGGAGCTATGGTGATGCCCATCGTATGATGAACGAAAGCTCAGCCCGTCTTCACCCGAAACGAGGGAGGATGTCTCGTGGACTGTGTCAGCCGAACGGCTGCGGTGCAACGCGATTCATTCTTCAGACACTTTCATACGAAACATGAAATGAGGGTCCAACTAATAACCCTCAGAGCTGCAAACTCTACCTGCAAGGTGACCACAAATCACGAAGATTGGCAGGCTCTTTCTTGGGTATGAAAACCAAGAAGGTGTGGATTTTTGTGTGGTCGCAGTCTCCTTTTGTTGTATACAAGTTGTATTCACCCAATTTTGTTTAAAGGAAATAAAGAACTGGTAGAGGAAGAATTTTCCCACAATCATATGAGTTGAGCTGACATTTTCATTCAATTTCACATGGCCTTGCTTTCCCAAAAGTTGTTCTCATCCAGGGTGGGAAAACGAGGCAATGTGCAATTCAATGGAAACGTCAGCTCAACTCATATGCTTGTGGGAAAATTGTTCTTCTACCAGTCCTTCATCAACTAAGACGAAATTGGGTAAATACATCTCATACTACTGATTTACTGGTAGTCTCGAAACAATACTTAAATGTGATATATAAAATGAAATGGAATGGAAACGTCAGCTCAACTTATATGATTGTGGGAATATTGTTCTTTTACCAGTCCTTCATCACCTTAAACGAAATTGGGTGAATACATCACATACTACTGATTTAATGGTTATGACGAAAACAATACTTTATTCGAAAAATAAAGATAAATTTGTTTAGAAATTGTTTGACCCTGTTTTCACAAATTGGTCATGTTGGTAGGAAGACTTAGAGGAACGCACCAAGTCCGGAGTCCATTGTATGCATCATCCTTTCCAAAGTTGGACCGTGGACGTGGTACCTTCCCACACGTTTCGCCGGCATCGTCAGTGAGTATCGCCAATCGTAGCAATAAACAACAACTCGTCAAAGAGACAAGTAAAGCCGATCCTTTGACTAAACTTTTGTGGTATCTCCCCTTCTGCCCTGGCCTATTCACATTTCTTATATACTCCAATCACACCTTCACTGTCACAATTTTTGATTTTTAATTGCTTATTTCGATGTGGTGTGGTGTGCTCCTTTGACCGACCTTCAAATCTCTTCACCCAACACTTTCACTCGAAATGGAAGTAAGCTCGACAACTATTCACATTTCCCATACCCTCTTATCACACCTTCTCTGTCACACTTTGTACCGTGTTTATTTTCGATGTGGTGTGGTATGCTCCTTCGAGCGGCATTCTTGAAAACCCTTTCACACTCCACACTGTCGTTATCACCCCCTTCACCCTTGTGATGGGAATTGTGACCAGAGTCTGTCAAATTGTTACTTAGTCTTTCTCTATGTCCTATCAAAGTCTC